TGATTTGTGGAGAACAAACAATATACTAATGAACCAGTTAATCTCTTTATCAGTGAGATTTTCTGGATTAAAATGAGTTGTGTTTTTTGTTGTTAGCATTCCGAACTGATCAATATCCAGTCATAATAGTACTTCCATAATTTATGGTCAAATCTCAAGTTCATTTGGCGGGATCCGCTAGTAAGCTACTTGTTATGTGGTGTTTTATAGGAGCAGATCATGTTGAAAATTGCAATTTCATAAGATTTACGAGTCTATGAAAGTAGGTGTTGGTTTTTGACACTCATCTTGCGATGATATGTTGGATCTATGTGATGTTAAGATGTTTCATTTATGAAGCGCAGTGTTATCAAATTTCCTCCATGGCGGAATAGCATAGTGAATTTTGGCTGATCCGCCATTTGCGGTCTTCCCTGTTGGTTGTTGCTGGTTTTTATGGTTGCCATGACCATACTTGTGTGGCAGTCATGGATGCCATGCCGTGAATAATGGGCAGTTTATGTTGTTTCTTGGGCTTGCCCATAGAAATTGAACTGAGAACCACTTCGGCTGCCCTATTTGCACTTTAATATCTCAAACTTCAGAGAATTAAATATATGAAAAGAAATAATAAAATAGGCAAGAATCAGATTTAGAAAACCTCAGTTTTTCTTTCAATTGAGGGCAGATAAGGCCAACCCTTCCTCTGGCGATGGCAGCTCTCCCTCCGGTGATGGCAATCTTCAATAAGTTTCATATTTCTGCCTTTTTTTTTTTAATTTTCTTTTCCTTAGGGAACTGTGTATATGTTCTTGAAAAAATGTTGAAAAGACTGAATTGGGTTGGACTATGGGCATCTGTTGTGTTCTTTTTTACTTTTGTAATGAAAAGAAAAGTTAAGAACCAAGCATTTTGTTTAATGATGATTGAAATTTTGCATGTTTTGAAACTTTTGCATTAAAAACAAAAATATAATTTTGTCTCCACCATGGCTGCCATTTTCTGCCATGCTGTCTGCCATGGATATCTGGCATTTTTTTTTGGCCTTTTGCCATGCCAACATCCACAGTTGATTACAATGGTGAAGCTGTAAAAAAAAACCTGTGATGCATTTGATGGACACTTAAAAACCCCTTGGGGTCCTAATATATCTTGGTTATCTATATAATAATGCCATTACTTTAAACAATCAGACCAAAACGTAGCATTTTTGCAATGACCTCTTTTTAGTTGCTTGTTTCACAGTTGGAAATTCTTGAGGAAATTGGTTTACGGTAATGCGTTGGAGAACTTTTTGGTTGCTGTTCTGAGTGGTTCATCTCCAATAGTTGGAATTATTATTGAAATTTCTATTAATATTGTTGCCTATATATTTTTTCTGTCTATGCTCAGTTCTGAAGCTTTAGGTCCATCATTGAACTCCCTTTTGGTTTGGCCTTGATAAAGATTTTGTTGAACACTTGTGGAGAATGTGTCTACTCTAAACCTCGCGGTTGGCTCACGCGTTAGGATTGTATGGTGGAGAGCACTGACTAGATGCTTTTTATTTGTAGACTTTATATAGTTTGAAAGATTTTAGGAAACAGGATTAAGAGACAAATGTCTATAATGTAGACGGTTAACACATCTGAAAGTTTTTCAACAAACAATGTGACTAAATTGTTGCGACATTCCACTAATTTAGCTTCTGTTAGAAGATAGTGAATAGTCCCTACTTCCTTCAATGATGTAAAAGAGTTTCATTTTTCAATTACACCATCTTTTAGTTCTCAAACATGGTCTACTTCAGTTAGTTCAATTCGTTTTGTCTTCCAAACTAGCTGTGCTCATCCTATCGTATTATCAAGAAAAACTGAGCTTTTTGAGAACAAGCTATACTGTTGACTGTTGTGTGTCATTGCATCTGAAATAAGCTGGAAGGTGGCAACTCAGATGCTTCTCCTCTTAAGCTCCATGGTTTATGAACGGATTTTTTGAAGCTATTTTTCCGGACTTCTCTTTGTTCGCCAAGCTATTTTTCCAGACTTCTTTTTGTTTGTGCTATATCTTTTTGTCTAGATATATAGTGGACATGATGAAATCGACAACTCCCCGTGCACAAAATCCACGTTACAGCCTCCACATTTTTTAATATATGTCTGATACCATTTTGAAATCTGATTCTGACTCGAAAATTGGGTACTGTATTAGGTTCGGTTCACTGTTCTGGACGATTGCTTGCCGTTGCCCGAGGAAAAGTTTAAGAAAGTTATCAAGGAGAACTACTTCACGAAGACCAAGTTCGATTGCCAACTGAAGGCAGACCAGGTAAATTACATGTTCACCCCCACACAAAACATCATCTCTATACATACATACATACATACCCTTGTATCCTAAAAAAAAAATTCCTCAGGTAAAGAAACTATGCAAACTGTTTGTCAATTCGAGCAAAGGTCCTCTCCCCAAAAAGCCCCCCCGCAGGGCCGAAAAGAAACTTCACCCATTGCACCAGGAGAGCAAAAAGCGCGTTCGGTTGGTCAAAGACGAGCAAACCCAAGCAATCCTGTACCGTGACCGCCGTCCCCACAAGCGCCCGAGGAAGGCTGTTGTCATCAGCAGCCCATTGGGCCCCCGCCAGCTTCCTCCGCGGGCCCCACTTGCTGCATATGCCTCACCACATCGGACTACTTCCTCATACAGACGGGACCCATATCCTTACAGAGACGAGCAGGAGTACCCATATCAAGTAAATGGGCGCGATTCCTACTACAGAGACAGGGACAGGCTGTACACATATCCGTCTGTGGAGCGTCGGGATGCTTACATGGATGTGGGGCTCCGTGGGCGTGATCTGTACTTGGAGCGTCGAGATTTGCCCAGAGATGCAGTGTATGGAGAGCTCTCTTATGGCGGTGGTGGTGCGTACGGGCTGAGGGACCGGGACCGGGTGCTATCGGATAGTCACGACGGTTATGGGGAGGGTCTGTATTTGGAGCGTGGGGGTGCTCATAGCTCGTTGAGTTTCGAGAGTAGGTACCGACCGGATTCCTTTGTTCTGACCAGGCGACTACCGCTGGCTGATGATCCTATTTATTCGAGAGAGTATGCGTCCCGAGCAGGTTTGGACCGGGAATACCGTCTGTAATTTGTGTTGACAGCCTGATGATGATGGTGATGGTGATGATGATGTCATCGTTGTATTTGAAGGAATGTGATAATACAGGATTCTTTTATCTGGTTTTGGGTTTCATGTAATTTTTCTGTACTGTGTTAAGGTGTGTGGTTTGTGGAATTGGATCTACATTATACTAGTTTTTCATTGTATGTTGGATACTTATAATGCTGAATGACAGTTTGGTGTTTCTAAGTGCAGTTTAACGTTGGTGTCTGTTTATATGCTCCTCTTAGGCTCCTAACAAATGGAATCCTTTGGTAAGGAACCATGGTAAGCCCCTCCTAGGTAAGCAACTATTAAAATTGATTGGGCTGAGCATGGGTCGAGACGGTCCAAAGATGCCAATTTTTTTGAAACCAAATCAAACTTCGGAGTCTCAAAAGTTGGGCTCCGGAATTGAATCAATTCCAAGAGATTTTTGTTCCGAACTCTCTCGAATTTCAGAACGATTCGGGGAATCGAGTCTATTGGGTCGATTTGATATGGATGGAATTTCAGAAATTTTGGAGGTTTTTTTTTTTTTTTTTCTCCAAAACCTGTGGCACATCTCATAATAAAATATGTCCAAAGCTAAACTAGTGGTCCATCTGCAGCATAATGAAAACGACAAACAAACTCATAAACAAGTCCAACAAGTTGAACATACTCCACTAATAAGTAAAAGGAAATTTTTAATGTATGCTTACCGTTTTTTAAGTAATTACAACATTATCATCCAAACCAATAAATTTGTGTATATACCTAAGAGATAAAATGTAAGTATATTCATGCCTAAAACAGTTACAGGTAAGATGAACAACCATTCCATATTTGTAGCACACAATTTCAGGATTCAAGATGGAAAGGTATTATATTTTAATTTAAATTCATAATCATCGTTGAAACAGACGGAAAAGAAAAAGGAAACACGCAGGCGTCGAGGTTTATGTGAAAACACGCTCTTCCTGTTAATGTCATGAGAAAATATACTGATAATATACTGTCGAACGTCTTCCTGTTAATGTCATAAGAAAATATACCGAAAAAATATTGACAATATACCGAAAATTTTTAATCGACAGGTGTATGGAATGATTATATCTGTACATATACTTTACATCCTAACATAAACTGTACATATACCAAAATACAGAAAAAATCTGGTTCATGTATGGAATGATTATATCTCCAAAATAATATGAACAACTTTGAGAGTATACCGAAAATATACTGAATATAGAACCCTGACTTTAAATCTTTAACGGCAGAATGTACCGAAATATACTGATAATATACCAAAAATTTTTAACTATTACATACTGTCGAACGTCTTCCTGTTAATGTTGCCGGTGGGCTTGCGATTAGGGTTAGGGTTCATTTTTCTCTAAAAAACGAGCTTCTTCTGAATGAGTTTTGGTTTTGATTTTGAAACGATCTTACGAAGTCGGGAACTTGACCTTATCTGTGGTGTTCCATCCCCTTTGTTCGCCGGTTTTTTTCGAGGATCGCGTGCGATTTTTGTTTTCGCCATTGAAGGAGGTTTGGAAACTGAGGAAGTTTTTTTCTTTCTGAAGGAGATTTTTGTTTTCTGAGTATCGCGTGAGATGAGATGAACATGGGCAGCGGTTTTAGGTAATTGCCGTAAAATCTGTAATCCATTAATTATCTGATATAACTCAATTAAGAGTTTAGGCATATTAGCAATATTTTTAGGCTTATTGTAGTAATTACATAAATATTTATCTAAGGGTTGTAAAATTACAATATAATAACTATGCTGAAGTATGGGGTGCAATTTCCTCATAGTAAACTAGCAAAACATTCACAAAAGACAATTTCAAATATAAGATCAAAATGAACAAAAAAGAGCCATAAAGGTCCCACCAAATTTCCCAAACTAAATAAACCATCATGTTCTTCATTGATGACGAACCCGGTGCAAGCAACTTCAACTTCATTATTAATCCACCTTGTTCCACATTTCTAGCATGAACTACAATATTATAAGAGTAAATATTACCAAAAAGCATAAAAATTTAGTATATGCATAAAAATATTTTATTGATTTATCAAAAAGTAAACATATTTTGATATATTTAAAGATTAATACCTGTGGCTCAATTAGTCAAATAACAAAGTTGACCAGTAAACTTCCCTTAATATTCAGATCTTGAATTGCATCTGTAAAATAAAATAAAAAAAAAAACGAGAAAATATCATACACCATAAGAGAAAATAGAATTTTAATGAATGGAAAACAAAGAATTTAAAACTATAAATGAATGAGTAACATATAACTAATCAAAAGCAACTAGGGTTATGTTGATATGTGTGTTTGCATCAGCAGTTAATCAAGAATCAACTGTGTATTGGAGAAATAATCGTAAAATTAAAACGGGATTGGATGGTGAAAGTAGAGAATTTTAGGCTTGAACGAGGTCAGCTTCTGAGAACTTCGAGATCTGACCTATAGGCTGTATTGCCTGAATTTATTGCAAATAATTGAGTTTGTTTTTGCTTATAGTTTTCGGGCTATTTGTAAGCAAATATCGGTTATTTTTCTGTGCTTAACTTTGTTCAGCTTACCCGCCATAAATGAAACATACGACTATTTATAGCTGAACATTCCCGGTTACTATTACCCTACTATTCACAGAGCCATATCGTACAGTAAACCGGAATGACGGGCATTAAATGAGGTACCATTGATTCTAAATGATGATTATCGACCATTAAATGTTGATTGATAGGCCTTTGACGAGGACATGCTGCTGTAGGAGCCTACAGACCATAGGCCTGTAGAGTTGGTGGACACTTTCCATCGGTTATCATTATATTGCAAGTGACATTTATTTTATTATTCTATGACTTGGGGTGCACTCCTCTGACGTTTGATTCTTGAGATCTTCGAGATCAGACTCCCGCCATGACTTCATCAATTTGGGCTTCTTTCTTCTTGTTTTGGGCTCAGACTCTCCTCCGAACTTCGAGACCGAGCTTTCCTCTCGGTTATTATCCCATCGTTCGCCAGCCTTTAGGCTCGGACCACCTATTGCTAGGGGATGGAGCCGAGCTGAGTGTCATCCCCACGGGATCGATATGCTAGTCTTCCGCGAGCCAAGCTAATCCACTTCGTTGGGGGTTTATGCCCTTAATCTGCTCTTACCAACTCAGATGCCAACATACAGGCCTCTGAGCTCGGATGGAAGATGTTTGGACGTTTCTTCGGAGGTTGTCTTCTTAAGAGTGGTTATTCGAGTTGACCACGATCCGCTTTCCTTGGGGCACATGCATCTAACTCTAGCAGGTGTTTAGTGCACTGGTGATGTATCATGAATAGACTCGCGTTAATAGTGGTGGGTCTGAAACGCTTGGGTTTTTTCTCGAAGGTCGTGCCGCTTTGATCGTCCGTCCACATGACATTGGATCCGTCTGTAGATTCGCCCCTAACCTTTCGGATACGACAGGTCTGGTCTTTTAGAGTTTTGAATACGGACAGACGACACCATTACATTTACTGGGCCTCCAGCATATATACGAGGTTTTAGGGATTTCTCGGACTTTTTTTCATTTTCAATTTTTGGGCTCTTTAGACTTCTTGAGCAGAAAGCGTCTGCTGCCATTAGCGAGTTCCCCAAGTTTCTAAGGACTCCATCTCCTTCGATAATCTTAATCTCTAACCTGATTTTCTTACTTTTATTTTGTTATTATGTCGACATCTTCACTCGTGGTTGTTACTGCAGACTTAATCGGCAACAGGGCGATCCCCGAAGCCGCTGGGATGGTTGTTTACTCGCCGTCATCGGTGGTTGAGTCAATGTCAGGGGTCGCTGAAGAAGCGGAGACGGTGCTGGTGGTGAGGACGATGGAATTGGCGGTGGAGACGGCCACCAAGCCAAAAGAGGGTTCTGCGTCGGAGTCGCAGGTGAGGGGTGTGAGTGGTGCCAGTGACCTTGACCTGAACGAACCTATTGATTTGGACGATGACGACGGGGTAGACATGGGTTTAGTGGAAGAGACCCTTCAAGGGGAAACCCATGGTCGGGAACGGGTCCTTTTGGTCATGGATGACCGTGAGACTGACCAGATGCTTGAGGAGGTTACGGCCGTGCCAAACGGCTATTAGTGCCGACCTACTCGTGTGTAGCTGGAGCCTAGTGAGTTGAAGGTGTGTAGTACGCTTTCAATACTGAACGAGGTCGACCTTGTCATGTTGAGAGGCAAAGCTCAGTTTGGATCGAAAGTGCGCATTTTTTCACCTTACCTAAGGGAGAGGATCCACTGCGGCCGCCGACGAGCTGCATCGGGGTTTTTCGAAAAAGCATATTGATGGGCCTTTAGGGATGTGGGGGTAGACATTAGCCAACTCATACCATCATCCTTGGTATGATATCTACATGATCATTATGTTCAGGGATAGGGGTTGGTTGGATCCTACCGGTGAAGTGATCCGGGCATTGTTTGCCTTTATGGAGACGGGAAAGAGGACCGGGAACTACTACTGATCGGACCATCCCAGGATAGATAGGGAGTTGGTCTACAATCTGACTGATACCCTCCATGGCTTTCAGCCGGAGTGGTTCTGGGCCGGAGGCCAGTGGTTGGGCGATCGTTCTTCGGACGTGCCGACCGAATTTTTTACTGGCTCACATATGTCCTTGTTCCCTTCTCGTCATTTCGCTTCTAATGGTGCTCATTTTGTGCTAACGGGTAGGTGTTTCCTTTTCAGTGATGTTGGATATTATCATTATTAGCGATGACCTGGCGCGCCGAGTTGGCCACTTGCTGTCCCTTCCAGAGGGGGATCGTGATTATTCGACGCTCATCAAGGAAGAGTGCCTTCTGCAAGTTAATCTGTCTCTCGAACTCACTAACTCCCACTTTGAGCCAGGTATTCTTCCCGCTTTTTATTATGTAGTAGCGTTCTTCTTTCTCTATGGTTAGGACTCATGCCCCTGTCATTTTCTCCTTATAGTCTACTATCCGCTTACTCAATCTTGTGGATTTGCCTCGGTGAAAGAGGCTCTTCAGTTTGTCCGTCGGAATCCAAATCCGTTGCAAAGAGAAAGAAAGTAATTAGTGGGTGCAACTTCCTTCTAGGTCAGAGGTTGGTCGATGCAAGTAAGAGCCGACCTTCTCCTCTGAAAATCAATGAGAAATGAGCGAGAACCATCTCGCGGGGATCGGACCGAAAGTCAGGCTGGCGAGCACATAAGCCGATCCGAAGTGCGTGAAAGTCGTGACGTTGTTGTCCCTCCCCCTGATCGGTCAGAGAAGAGGTCGGCCCCCTGTGATCCTGAACCCGAGATTGAGGATCACCTGGTGAGGAAGAGGAAGAAAGTCTCAGAGGGGAAGAAGACAGCTTCTGAGGCGGCCAAGATTCCTATGCTCAGTTGGGATTTGAGAACAGAATTATCTATGGACGGCTTGTCGTTTACTCAACAGATGGAGTATGTTGTTGGTTCCTTAGCTCGGGGTCTGGTTGAGCTGGTCCATGCCCATAGGAGCGAAAAAGTACGTTAAGGAGGCCGACCCTGTGATTGATGATCATAAGGTCTGTATTAGACGATCCGTTCCCTCAAGGACCAAGTGCAGAAGGAGATCGGACTCAAGGACATAGCCAATCTGGAAACGACTCTCATGATTTCTAGTCTTCATAACGAGAGGGCGTCCTATCAGGCGTTCAAGGAGAAACCTAAGGCATAAACAGCCGACCTCAGGCAGAGGATGGCTGTCATGCAGGCTGAGAAGAAGGCTTGGGCCGAGAAGGAGGCCGCATTGGTGAAAAGGGAGGCCAATTTGATTCAGGAGATTGAGGGACTGTAGGCCGTTCTTTGGGACAGGTCGAAGCTGAGCACTCTGACCCTTGGATTTAACTATATGGACATCTTAGACTTGTTCCCGGATGAGTTTGCGAGAGAGTTTGACATGCTGACGACCTATAACCTCTTCTGGATGATTCAACGATTGAGTCACAAGTTGCTGAGCCTCAAGGATTTTCGCGAGATCCTCCACCGCAAGATTGCGAAACTCGGCGTGTCGAGCTAGGATGAACTATCTGTGATCGAGGTTGATGATGAGAAGTCTGACCTTATTCGAGACAGGGAGGGCTGGCCGGTTGAGCAATTGCTCGCTTAAAGGATCCCGTTATCACACGGGACACAAAGTTGTCGAACTTAGATAAAGTGATAACAAGCTCCACCCTTATCGGGTAGTGCTGGGGACAGAGGAGCTAAAGGCCATCGTCCTTTCTGACGGGGACGGCGGAATGGCTGGGTCCTCTAAGGCTGGCAAAACGAGATTTGTTTCTGAGGCCAACGATCCTACCAATGGCGAGCAGGAGATTAGGACTGAGGGCGCGACTAGGACCGACCTGAATGCTCATGCAGAAGATGTAACTCGGAGGCCCTTGTTTGAGCTGCTTCAGATTTCTATAAACTGATTTTTTACCAAGCCTGCGTGCCTTGGATTTTGAAGTGATCGGGTATGGTCAGAAAATAATATTTCTACTATTTTTTCTTTGTTTCGAATGATTTTTTACTCTTTTGTGTCTGAATGAATGTTTGTCTTTAAGTTATGACCTCGTTTCTTTGAGAGCACTTACTTGTCAGTGATGCGCTACGAGTTTTTGCAAGGTTTTTCAAAATTTACTTTCCACCAAGTGTTTTTAAGAATCCGACCTATTGTTAGTGTTATATACTGAAAGTTTGGCTTTGCATTTTATTACACATTTACCCTTTATGAATGAGAATCATGTTAGATTAAACAAGTTCTACGTTTTGTTGTTCTGCACTTAGATGGAGTGGGTCGTCATCGGGCGAACCGAAGATCACTCTATCAGTTACTTGCGAATAAGAATAGTTGTTCACAACCTAGATGGACATGAACACTCCATCCGAACGGTTGTAGTGTCAACTGTACAGTTTGTCTTGACTGATTAGTTGCACTAGTACATTTATGTATTGAACAGGATCCCAGAGAGGAGAAGTTCATTTTATACTGATCGTCGTAAATGAACTAGGCCTCGGTTAATTACTGCGTTCTCTTAACCCGTAAGATATTAAACAGGCAGATATATATAATATATATTACTTTGATTCACATGGGTGAGGTTCAGTTCGCTGGATTAATATTCCTACTGTTTTGGGTAATATTATTATATATAGGATGTGCTGTTAGGATATTTACGGTCACCATGTGCGTTAGTTTGATGATGTCCCCGGAGTGAGTTCATGAAGGATTGTTATGCTAAACCCTGCAGGTGGATTAAGTTCCGGCATAATAAGAATGTGATGAACGAGCGCTAGCTTCGGTGAAATAATAATAAATTAATTAATTCTTGATTGTCAGTAATCGAATTAATTAATGGACATTATATCTTAAACGTGGGGAGGTAAATCGAGTAATTATTATTGGAGTCTCAAATGTAATTTGGGTTAGGAAGAGGGAGTGCAATAATATAATGTTGGTGGCCCATTAATATTATTTAATTAATTAGAGGAGTGGGCTTGGCCCACAGTTAGTCTAATTAATTAAGGAACTCTTTTTCTAATCTCCTTAGGGTCCCTACTGTAGCTCTATATATACATCATTAAGCTCATGAGAAGTGATGATAGTTCACATCTCACATGAAACACGCCTCTCTCTCTAGATCTCATTCGAGCTTTATCTTCTTCTTGTTGCTCCACTGGTACAAGTTGAAGAAGGGTGTATTCTTCTTCTTGTTGCTCCACTGGTACAAGTTGAAGAAGGGTGTATTGAGTAATACCGTAGAAGATCTGTAGGTAAACCGAGACGAAATATATTTTGACCTACAGAACTAACCGGAAGTTCGATTGAGACGTACCGTATACCCAGACGACCGTCTCGACGAGAGCTTTCCATCGCCACCAACGTCGCCGGATTCTGACGCCGCACGCGCCCTCACACGCCGCCGGAAGGAGCCTGACTGCAAAAATTCGTTTTGATCTGTTTGCATCCGTTTGATCCGATTTTGATCTGATCTTGTTCGTGCAACCCAAGACGTGATTTGCGGTCAATCAATTGTGGTCAACCGTTCATGGTCAGCCAGATCTACATAAATTTTAAGCCGTAAGTTCTCTACGTCAAACCTTTAGGTCCGCTGCGCATAGGTTTACGTTTGCTATTGAATTCGTGATTTGTACATAACGAGATCCTCACAGATCCCAACAGGTTGGCCGGGCCACTTGGTTTGAGTTGTTAACTTGATGTAAAATGGATCAAGTTATTTTTTGAAATATTTTTGGTAGACGAGTCGGTTATCTTGCTTTTTCGACTCTTATGATTGACATTTTATTGCCTTACCGAGCAAACTATTGTGCTCAACATGTGCACGCTTGATAAATTTATTGTCATTGTAGCCTCACGACAACCTATTGTGTTCGGTGTGCGTACGCTCGATGCACTAATTAATACTATGGTCTCACTGAGAAACCAGTTTTGCTCGGCATGTGTACGCTTGAGACATTAATTGGCATTGTAGCTTCACCGAGCAAGCTGTTGTGTCCGGCATGCATACGCTCGACACACTAATTAGCAGTGTGGCCTCATCAAGCAACCTGTTGTGCTCGGCATATGTATGCTCGACAAATTAATTGGCATTGTAGCCTCAACGGGAAACCAGTTGTGCCTGGCTTGCATACGCTCGATGCACTAATTGGCACTATGGCCTCACCGAGCAACCTGTTGTGCTCGGCTAGTTTAAATGACTTGGTCTCGATCGCTTATGATGGTTTTGGAGTGTATCATCCCGGACCACGTTCGTTGTACTCAAGCGTGTCATCAGACTACTTATGGCGGTTTCCAAAACATCTTTTTTGATACGACGTGTCCGAACTGCTCCCCTTCTTCTGCCTCAAAAGGTTCTTATCATTTTTGGGAAATACAAACTCGGATCGACAAGCCTCCTCCTATGTTTGAGTCTGAATTGTTTAAAGGGATGACAATTGGTAGTAAGGGAGACTTGATAATAAAGTTGAGATTCTACCACTTGCAACACAAAGTGGAGTATCGAACAACAGTATCATCAAAATCTTGATTTGAGGCTGTCTGCAAGCATAAAGACGACCCATTTTTACTTTGTGGTAATTCAATGGTTGATAGCAGTTGGTGAATATGTAAATTCAACCACCAACATGCATGTATTCTCGACCTTAGTTGTTCAACCTCTAGACAGTTGTCGTCCAAGATCAGTGGAGCATTATTTACGCTGAAGTTATTGGCAGAAGGGCGAGTATTAAAGTCGAGAGTTGTAATGAATGACCTGGAGCGTGATCATGGTAGTCCGCTCAAATACAATAAAGCGTTAATGTCATATAATGTCGCTTATGACTTCGTTTATGGAGATCATAATAAGTCCTGTGAATTTTTTCTTGGATTTTATATGTTGATGAGAGAAAATCCTGGAACCACTACATTTTTCGAGAGAAACGATGATGATGTGTTCGAGTATGCATTCTTTGCCTTACATGCCTCCAATGGATTCATTGATTATTGCCACCCTGTGATTGAGATCAATGGTACCCAATTGAAAGGTCAATATAAAGGTATTCTTTTTGTAGCAGTAATATAAGTCAGCAATGAGTAGGTATTTTCATTGGCTTTTGGTGTAGGCGATATAGAAGAGCACAATACTTGGGCGTGGTTTCTACAAAAAATTTGTATTGTATTATGATGTCCCGAGAACTTATTAATTGTTTTTTATTGTCATGGAAGCATCAAGTCGTCTGTGGAGGTTGTACCCCGAAGCAATTCAAGTTATTTGCACATATCACTTACGACAAAATATTCGAAGGTATGGTCATGAAGTAGTTAATTTATACATGAGAGCTTCCTACAGCTATTCTCCTATTGTTCACGAAAAATCAATGAAGTTGCTCAAGAAACATTATAAAAATACATGGAGGGAATTAATTAAGGCATTGCCTCATAGATGGGCACGTACTCAATGTTCTGTTAGACGATATAGCTTCACGACCTCAGATGCATGTGAAGTCTTTAAAAATAGGATGTGTTGGGCCCGAAAATGCCAAGTTGTGCTTTGTTTGAATGCATTAAACATATTTTCAACAATGGTTTCACAAAAGATGGGTTGAGGCGGAAAAAATTGATGTTGAAGTTCCTCTTGAAATATCAAAAAGACTGGTAGAATATAAAGCTCAAGCTCAGAAGTTCAAATCTTCCCCTATAAGTCACCTTGTGTACCAAATCAATGATGGAGTATATAATCTTGTTGTCAATTTAAATGATCGAACGTGTACTTACCTTCGCTTCCAAGTTGATTTATTGCCTTGTCCACACGCAATTAAGGCCATCGGGTAATAGTTGATTTTTTTTTAATACACATTATTGATTAAAATAATATTTTTTCTCTTGATTATTCGGTTATTTTTAAGAATGCAAATAAATTGGTATATGGCTATGTAAATGAGTACTACAAGACAACAACCTTGCGCAGTCTTTATAGGTCCATACTAATCATGCCCATTGCTCATCCAAACAAGTGGAATTTACCGGAAGACGTTAGGATATTGGTTGTGAAACCCCTGACTAATCCAAAACAAGTTAGACGACCAAGGATACTCGATATACCATCGAATGGGCCTTATTCCAGTTCTCGAAAATAATCATTTTGTTCACATAGTAATGAACATGGCTATTACTCCATGACATGTTGTTCTATTCTCCCTCAATTTGAGCCCTCTAGTAGTTCTGCATCTTCGGGAACAAAAGTTCTTGGGTGTGCAATATGTAGCCAACCTGGCTACACTAGATGCACTTGCAAACAAGTTCAAATGTAATCATCGTTAATGAATGCTTTCTCTGTGACATAACATAATTGGGATATTATTTGTATGAATGATTTATATGTGGTTAATGATTTTGTGGTTTTTTTTTTTTTTTTTTGTCATGTGGTTAATATATAGTCATTGTTTTACAGGTCTACGTGGGTTGTGCTGGGCGCCACTACGTCGCACAGTGTCGCATCATGAAGGCACTTAAAACACACAGGTATGTGCGGATCACGCCAGGCGCGACTCCATTCACGTCGTGAGGATATAGGTTCTGAAATTTGGGTCTCGCGCCCGGTGCGACCTCATTCATGGCGCGACAGTGGAGCTCCTGAAGGACGCAACCCATGTCATGGTGTGAGAACTGGGCCGCTCGCGAGCTGTCCCATTGCAACTGGCGCGACTGGGGTCATGCCTTGAGTCCGACAACTTGGTTTTCTTACAAAAGCTGTATAATGTTTGGATTAGTACCGGGAGCAGACATTGTAATTACATGGTCATGAATTGACCTTAATCTAATTTTTATCTCTATTTTTCCTCTTTAATAAATTAAATTATTTATTTATTTATTTTTATTTTTATTTTTATTTTTGATGAATTTTAAATGTAGTTATGCAAGCCTCGTTATATTTGATGACAATTGGCATTTAATAACAGTTGACAACATACGAGTCAGCTTTTAACTATCATGCATTGCTTGCACAATCAACGCGACCCAAATTGAGCTCTCGAACGTTTCAAAGTTCGAACCATCCCCAGCACAAAGTTTCTTCACAAAACAAACAAGCACTCAACATAATAATGAAAATAACAATTCGGTGCCCACAAATATCCAATTAAAGCATGAGGGTACGTAACCTAGAATGTGTACAAAGGTGAAAAACATCACACACACTCTCAGCCCTTGGATTAACTTCAGCTCTTGGATCAACCACAGCCCTTGGATCAACACAAAGAGACAAAGCATGCACATGTAGCTCGTGTGACCAGGAAAGATAATCGTCCATCATCCGACGATACACTTGCCCCTGGACGCTGCCACATGTCATCATCAGAGCCTAATAGAGTACATCAATCCTTTGTGAAAGAATATACCTATAAAGATGATCTATGTTGTAACCCTAGGCATTTAGTATAAATAGAATGTTTGCTAGGGTTCTTTTCATTATGGTAGACACGTTTTTCCCTCTGTAGAAATTTTGCAATTAATGCATTTATGAAGAGATCACTATCAATGGAAAAGGCTCAGATTTACTTTCATCTTGTCTCATTTTTTTTCATGGTATCATAGCAGGTTCCTTGACCTGTCTCTGATATTTTCCTCTATTTTTTCTTTCTCTTTTCTTTTATAAGCTGTCATCGTGGCAGACGATGGGTCTACAAACACTTTAAAGCCTCAGACAAATCCAAGCAAAGTCCAAAGACAGATTGTCTACCCAGTTAGTCAGCTCATCACAGTAAAGCTAGATGAAGCAAATTATCTTATCTGGAAGCAGCAAGCTCTTACCACCATCAAAGGCTATGGTCTAGAAGACTTCATTGAGAAAAGCTCGAACATGCTGACAAATTCATCACAACAGAAGAAGGTAACATACAGATAAACCCTCTTTTCTCTGTCTGGCAGAGGCAAGATCAAATCCTTGCCTCATGGATCTTGTTCTCCTTAAGTGAAAGCATCTTGATATTTACTGTTGGGCTAAACACTTCTACGAAAATCTGGTTTGCTTTAGAAAACAATTTTTCAACTCAGTCTCAAGCCAAGATCATGAAGTATAAACTCATGTTGCAATCTCTCAGAAAAATTGGCATAAGCATGAGAGATTATTTGGGAAAAATGAAATCATATTGTGATGTTTTAGCTTCAGCTGGACACATCATCTCTGAAAAAGACCAAATCTTGCATATTCTGAGTGGATTGCCAAGTGAGTATGACCCTGTGGTGGTCAGTGTTACTTCAAGAGTTGAACCTTGCACCATGCCTGATCTCCATGCTATGTTACTGAGTTATGAAGCTAGAATGGAAGACAACAACACCAGCAACTTGAATGTTAACTTAGAAGGGTCACAACCATCAGTCAATGCTACAACACAAGGCTTTCAAAGGAGAAATCAAAATCCTTAGTTCAACAACAATAGAGGTGGTCAAAGAGCTTTTCAGCCAAATAGGGGAGGTAGAAATGGAAAAAGAGGAAGAGGAAATGGACCTAGGCAAGTTTGCCAAATTGGCCAAGTGACAGGGCATACAGCAGATAGATGCTGGTATAGAAATGACTCCTCAGTCAACAACTCACCAGGATATCAGAGCTCTCAACAGCAACAAGGTTACAGAAATCCAGCTGCAAACCTTACTCATTTTGGACCCACTAACAGTGTGCAGAGTGACTATGGGTCTGAAGCAAGTTGATATCTTGATTCAGGAGCAACTGTGCATGTTACTAATGACTTCAACAATTTGAATAAGGCTTTAGATTACATTGGGACAAATAGGTTGCAAATGGGAAATGGAGCACCTGTTCCTATCAGTCACATTGGTAACTCAACTTTGAAATCTTCTTATGATTCTAAGGCTTTCGTATTGAAAAAATCTCTTGCATGTTCCTTAAATAACTAGAAATCTGCTCAGTGTATCTCAATTTGCTTCAGATAATGATGTATTCTTTGAATTTCATCCTACCCCCTATCTTGTTAAGGATCAACTCACCAAGGCAGTGCTACTCAGAGGGAGTCTTGAAGATGGATTGTACAAGTTCAATTTGCAGGTCGACAAGAACCACTCCTCTTCATATTATCCCAGCAGTATAAATCACCATGTTAATTTTACTGCTTTTAAGAAGGAATTGAATTTCAGCCTATGGCATCTTAGATTAGGGCATGCAAATGAGGATGTTATTGAAAGAACCTTAAATGGTTGTAATGTCCCTTTTCAGAGAAATAAAGATATGACTGTTTTTCCTTCTTGCATTATGGCTAAGGCTCACAAATTGTCTGTTTCAGATTCAAATTTTATTGCCTCTGAACCTCTTGAGTTAATTCATAATGGTTTATGGGGACCAGCCCCTATCAAGTCCTTAAATGGTTTTGGTTATTATGTGAGTTTTGTGGATCACTACAACAGATTCACTTGGATATATTTTTTAAAAGAAAAGTCTCAAGTTCATGAAATCTTAATGCTTTTTAAGGCTGCAGTTGAGAATGAGTTAAACAAGAAAATCAAGGCTTTTCAAACAGATGGTGGGACTGAATATAGGACACTGAAAAATTATTTGCATGAACAAGTAATACATCATAGAGTGCTTTGTCCTTACACTCCACAACAAAACAGAGTTGCAGAAAGGAAACACAGAAATATTGTTGAAGTTGGTCTCTCCTTAATTGCTCAATCTAACATGCCTTTAACATATTAGGATGATGCTTTTTCAACTGCTGTGCACATCATAAACAGACAGAGCAGCAAAGTAATAGGTTTCAAAACCACTTTTGAATTGCTGAAAGGAAGGAAACCAGACTATGGTGAGCTCAAGGCCTTTGGCTGCAAATGTTACCCATATATAAGGCCTTCAAATAAACATAAGCTGGAATATAGAGCTGCACAAGGTGTTTTCATTGGATATAGTCCAAATTACAAAGGGTATAAAATGTTATTGCCCTCAAACAAGGTAATTGTCTCCAAGAATATGATTTTTGATGAGCAATGCTTTCCTTATCATGATAGGGCCCCAACAATAATATTGCACCCACTCAGCCATCTACTATCTTTGTTCCAAAAGTTATTGTTGAGCCTGTCTTCAACCAAGAAGGTAAGAAGCAAAATGAGAAGACTAATCAAACCCACTTGGAGTATATAGCAGGGTCCCCCTCTACAGCAAGACCTTCTCCTTCATGGACACCAACAGTGACTCCTTTTCAACAGATTGCCTCTCCAAGAGTTATTTCAGAAACAGAAACTCACTCAACTATAACCTTGATAGTGGATCTGCTTGGTGCAACAAGTGAGTCCCATGTTTAGACAAGTTCGAAGGAAATGCAACATAATCAGCATCATATGGTGACAAGGTCCAAAACAGGAAATCTAAAGCCAAAAAGAATTTACAACATCACTGAAGCAGATGAAGAACTAAAGAATGTCTCTAAAGCCCTAAAAATAGATGCATGGAAAAATGCTATGAGAGAAGAATATGATGCTCTCATTAAAAATAACACTTGGGATTTGGTACCATTGCCTGCTGGAAGAAACTTAGTAGGAAGCAAATGGGTTTTAAATTGAAAAAAGGAACAGATGGCACTATCACCAAGCACAAAGCAAGGCTAGTGGCTCAAGGATACTCTCAGGCTGCAGCTGTGGATTATTATGAGACTTTTAGTCCAGTCATTAAGCCAAATACTATCAGATTGATGCTTACTCTTGCCATACACCATGACTGGGACATAAAGAACCTTGACATAAACAATGCTTTTCCCAATGGAGACTTGGAAGAGGATATCTACATGAGACAACCAATTGGCTTTGAAAGTGATAAAAAAGAAGAGCTGGTTTGTAAGATGAAGAAACTATCAATGGCTTGAAACAAGCCTCAAGGGCTTGGTTTGAAAAACTCAGAACAATACTAGCCAATCTTGGTTTCACCAACTCCAAAGCTGATACATCCTTGTTCTTCAAAATTGAAAATGGTTTTAAAACCTATCTATTGGTCTATGTGGATGGTATTTTATTGACAGGAAACAATCCTAAAGTCATTGAAGGGCTTATATCAAAACTGAGCAGTGTGCTATCTTTGAAGAACTTAGGCAACATTCAGCTCTTCCTTGGGATTCAAGTCCTCAGAAATTCAGCAGGTCTTCACTTAAATCAAGAAAACTATGTAAGAACCTTACTGAAAAGGGTCAACATGCAGAATGCCAAAGGTTGCCCAACTTCTATGGTAAGTTCTTTGCTGCTATCCAAGTTTAAAGGGAGTTCAAAGAGTTTAAATCCTACTTTCTATAGAAGCATAGTAGAAGCCTTACAATATCTTACCATTACAAGGCCTAAGATTTCATTTAGTGTGGATAAAGTGAGTCAATTTATGGCCAATCCTCTAGACACTCATTGGAAATCAGTTAAAAGGATCTTGAGATATCTGGCTAGAACTGCAGATCATGGTTTATATATAAGCAAAGCAACACACTTGAACATTACAGGATTCTCTGACTCTGATTGGGCATCAAACATTGATGACAGAAGATCCATCACAGGCTCATGTGTATTCATGGGAGAAAATCTGATTTCTTGGAGCTCAAAGAAGCAAGCTTCAGTTTCAAGGTCAAGTAATGAAGCAGAATATAGAAGCTTGACAAGTACAACAGCTGAAGTCTCTTGGATACAATCATTGTTGAAAGAACTACAGGTGGTTGGGTCTAGAGTCCCTATCATTTGGGTTGATAATCTAAGTGCAATTGCTCTGGCATCCAATCCTGTCCAACATGCAAGGACCAAACACATCGAGCTTGATTTACACTCTGTGAGAGACAAAGTTCGAGCTAATCTTCTTAAAGTGCATCATATTCCTTCTAGTGAACAAGTAGCAGATGTGTTGACCAAAGCTTTAACCATGCAATCCTTCAACCGGTTTTGAAGTAAATTACAAGTCCTACCATTAACCGGCATTGGCTTGAGGGGGGATGAAAAACATCACACACACTCTCAGCCCTTGGATCAACTTCAGCTCTTGGATCAACCACAACTCTTGAATCAACACAAAGAGACAAAGCACGCACATGCAGCTCGTGTGACCAGGAAAGATAATCTTCTCATTGTGAGCTCTTGTACTGAGGCATCATCCAACCATACACTTACCCCTGGACGCTGCCGCATGTCATCATGAGAGCCTAATAGAGTACATCAACCCTTTGTGAAAGAATATACCTATAAAAATGCTCTGTGTTGTAACCCTAGGCATTTAGTATAAATAGAATGTTTGCTAGGGTTCTTTTCATTATGGCAAACACATTTTTTCCTCTGTAGAAAATTTTCAATTAATGCATTTATGAAGAGATCACTATCAATGGTAAAGGCTCAAATTTACTTTGATCTTGTCTCATTTCTTTTCAATAGGAAACCGCAATCATAATGCATTCTAAAAGATGAACAAACTACAATGAAACCAGATAAGTATCTAGATAATAACAATAAACCTATGAGAAAAACAACGCACTTCACTTCTTCTTTTCAACACATCTAGGAATCCTGCACAAATCAATGCCATATCCAAATCAATCCCATATTCAGCTAAAGCATAAAATATAAAGAAGGTCAAAAAACTATCTGACAAATGAACGTATCAAATAAGAATAGAAAAAGAATATACTCCTGATTTCTTATTTTACACCCCACAGAAAGGAAAAGAACTATCATTGTCACAATTAAAATCATGCTACACCAAGAGAAGGGAAAAAGAAAACGTACAACTCAAAATCACTATGGGTTTGACGGTCGTGGTTGTGGAGGTCAGTTGTAAGAGAGCCAAGTCCCTCCTCCCAGCGGGCCTCCCATTGGTCCAATGTCGCGTCGGTACGATCATGTCGAACATGAAGGGACTAAAACTGTTTGTCCAAAGCGACAAAGGATGACCCGAACTGAGCAAAACGTGGTTCGAAGGGGTCGAAAGGAGAGTCGTTACGTGCCCAATGTTCATTTAGTTTATGACCATGAGAAAAAATCATGCCAAATAGTACAATGAGAAAAATTTATGAACAACAGTTTCATTGTCGAAGAATCTACATGCATATTCAGACTCATACCGATTGATCTGATCACATTTAGAGATAAATCTAAATGAGTGTTGCAATGCAACTTTATCAATAAACTACTCTGGGTCAAGAACTTGTCGAACTGTTATCTTTGTACTATGGATTAAGGCATCTGAAATTATTTTGTAGATAAATTTACTAATACCTCACTTTTATATTTCGACTATAGATCAAGGCATTGCAAGCAAAATGAGATTTAGTTCGATGCTCATTATCGGTACAAATATTTTTAAAATGGTCGCGGCTATCGTGTCTTTTGTTATATATTATAAGAATAAATAAAAACATGATAACTATGTATAGAAATTAATACTCAATCATGAACACACTTTTACAACATAGCAAACAACTCAATTGTAGTTTAATTACATACTTAATTATGGAAATAATTAGGCCGATTGTAACATAACAGTAAACTGTATATAAAAACCAGGAAATTGTTGTAGCGACGGGCGAGAAAGGTAATCTTTTTATGTGGTACAAGTATTCTTTGTTTTAAAGAGTCGCATCTGTGAGTGTGGGTGAGAATAAAAAAGCCATCTAATTCTTTTTCCAAATATTCTGAAAGTAAAAGCCAATCAACCTTTATACAAAAACAAAAAAAAGGAGTAAAGATGAGAGCTCAAAGAAGCAAGCTTCAGTTTCAAGGTCAAGTAATGAAGCAGAATATAGAAGCTTGACAAGTACAACAGCTGAAGTCTCTTGGATACAATCATTGTTGAAAGAACTACAGGTGGTTGGGTCTAGAGTCCCTATCATTTGGGTTGATAATCTAAGTGCAATTGCTCTGGCATCCAATCCTGTCCAACATGCAAGGACCAAACACATCGAGCTTGATTTACACTCTGTGAGAGACAAAGTTCGAGCTAATCTTCTTAAAGTGCATCATATTCCTTCTAGTGAACAAGTAGCAGATGTGTTGACCAAAGCTTTAACCATGCAATCCTTCAACCGGTTTTGAAGTAAATTACAAGTCCTACCATTAACCGGCATTGGCTTGAGGGGGGATGAAAAACATCACACACACTCTCAGCCCTTGGATCAACTTCAGCTCTTGGATCAACCACAACTCTTGAATCAACACAAAGAGACAAAGCACGCACATGCAGCTCGTGTGACCAGGAAAGATAATCTTCTCATTGTGAGCTCTTGTACTGAGGCATCATCCAACCATACACTTACCCCTGGACGCTGCCGCATGTCATCATGAGAGCCTAATAGAGTACATCAACCCTTTGTGAAAGAATATACCTATAAAAATGCTCTGTGTTGTAACCCTAGGCATTTAGTATAAATAGAATGTTTGCTAGGGTTCTTTTCATTATGGCAGACACATTTTTTCCTCTGTAGAAAATTTTCAATTAATGCATTTATGAAGAGATCACTATCAATGGTAAAGGCTCAAATTTACTTTGATCTTGTCTCATTTCTTTTCAATAGGAAACCGCAATCATAATGCATTCTAAAAGATGAACAAACTACAATGAAACCAGATAAGTATCTAGATAATAACAATAAACCTATGAGAAAAACAACGCACTTCACTTCTTCTTTTCAACACATCTAGGAATCCTGCACAAATCAATGCCATATCCAAATCAATCCCATATTCAGCTAAAGCATAAAATATAAAGAAGGTCAAAAAACTATCTGACAAATGAACGTATCAAATAAGAATAGAAAAAGAATATACTCCTGATTTCTTATTTTACACCCCACAGAAAGGAAAAGAACTATCATTGTCACAATTAAAATCATGCTACACCAAGAGAAGGGAAAAAGAAAACGTACAACTCAAAATCACTATGGGTTTGACGGTCGTGGTTGTGGAGGTCAGTTGTAAGAGAGCCAAGTCCCTCCTCCCAGCGGGCCTCCCATTGGTCCAATGTCGCGTCGGTACGATCATGTCGAACATGAAGGGACTAAAACTGTTTGTCCAAAGCGACAAAGGATGACCCGAACTGAGCAAAACGTGGTTCGAAGGGGTCGAAAGGAGAGTCGTTACGTGCCCAATGTTCATTTAGTTTATGACCATGAGAAAAAATCATGCCAAATAGTACAATGAGAAAAATTTATGAACAACAGTTTCATTGTCGAAGAATCTACATGCATATTCAGACTCATACCGATTGATCTGATCACATTTAGAGATAAATCTAAATGAGTGTTGCAATGCAACTTTATCAATAAACTACTCTGGGTCAAGAACTTGTCGAACTGTTATCTTTGTACTATGGATTAAGGCATCTGAAATTATTTTGTAGATAAATTTACTAATACCTCACTTTTATATTTCGACTATAGATCAAGGCATTGCAAGCAAAATGAGATTTAGTTCGATGCTCATTATCGGTACAAATATTTTTAAAATGGTCGCGGCTATCGTGTCTTTTGTTATATATTATAAGAATAAATAAAAACATGATAACTATGTATAGAAATTAATACTCAATCATGAACACACTTTTACAACATAGCAAACAACTCAATTGTAGTTTAATTACATACTTAATTATGGAAATAATTAGGCCGATTGTAACATAACAGTAAACTGTATATAAAAACCAGGAAATTGTTGTAGCGACGGGCGAGAAAGGTAATCTTTTTATGTGGTACAAGTATTCTTTGTTTTAAAGAGTCGCATCTGTGAGTGTGGGTGAGAATAAAAAAGCCATCTAATTCTTTTTCCAAATATTCTGAAAGTAAAAGCCAATCAACCTTTATACAAAAACAAAAAAAAGGAGTAAAGATGAGAGGATAGATTGAGACACACGTGAACCTTTTCAGCTACACACCCTTCACAATCGTCACATGCACACAAAAAAACAAAACATGAGTCCTTATCTTTCTTTTTTCTCTACTTTTACCTATTTACCAACAGCAAAGTCCATTAATAAATAGATGAGTACAATTTCCTCCCTCCCTCCGTCCCTCCCTCCATGGCTATTCGTAGTCCCTGTGGATATAAGTTGATAGGTGTATCATCCATAACTATAATCAATGTCCTTGTATTGGCAAATGTTATTACAGTTTCATCAGTGGTGTTGGTTAGTCTGAGGAAACAGCAACAGCAGAAGCACAACACTAACAATGGGTACCACAGCAGACCAATAGTGAGAGGCAATGAGAGCTGTTTGTTCGTGGGGTCATGGGTTCCCGACCAAAACACCACTCCTCTCTACGACTTCTCGTCTTGTCCCATAATCGACCCTCAATTCAACTGCCAAATGTACGGAAGACCCGACACCGACTACCTCAAGTACCGGTGGCAGCCCTCCAATTGCCAAATCCCTCGGTATATTATCTTTTGATATCGATGGATGTGTGTTTTAGTGTTATTTATTTAATAAAAAATGTTGGTTATTGCAATTTTCAGGTTCGATGGGGCAGAGTTTGTGAAGAGGATGAGAGGGAAGAGCATAATGTTTGTTGGGGACTCTATTGGTAGGAACCAATGGGAGTCTCTGATTTGTATGATATCAGCGGGTGTGGGCACACAGATGAGCATCAACAGGGGAGAAACCATCTCCACCGTCAAATTCCTGGAGTATGGGTTAACGGTGTCGTTTTACAAAGCGCCATACCTAGTTGATATCGACTTGATGGAGGGTAAGAGAGTGCTGAGGTTGGGGGACATAAGGGGGAATTCCCATGCCTGGACTGGATTTGGAGTTGATCTTCTTTACTTCAACACAGGCCATTGGTGGACTCACAAAGGGTCTCTACAGGGCTGGGATTATGTGGAGTCCGATGGAAGACTCTACCAAGATATGGACCCATTGCTGGCTATGGAAAAAGCCCTCACCACTTGGGCCAAATGGGTCGACGCTAATATTGACGTTACTAAAACCACACTTTTCTTCCAAGCTATTTCTCCAACACATTCCAAGTAAGTACGTTTTCTTTTTTCCTCATTTCACACCATTAATAAAATAATAATTTAACTCCACTACAAATTATAATTGTTGTTAATTTATTATACGCCTATGGTGTTCAAGTCCAATTATTGGTGCCTCAAATTACTGTTGACTGCCAGCTAGCTTGTTGGAAAATTAGGATTGATTTCTTTTGGTGCATGTGCTTTTCTGTCCCATCCCATCAATATGTTTTCATAAAGCTCAAATTGGTGTAGGGTAGGCGGTGATGAAGTTGTAGGCTTGTAGCTAGGGAAGTAGATTTACACACACACGAAACACTGTTATTAGAGTATGTACATTTTAGTCTTTTCAACTGGGGTATATAATTTGTTTTCCAATGAATGTTATCGTGCATATTGTTATACTGGAAAGTTTCAAGTGTGGAGTCCATTTTCTTATATCCACCACCAAATTTCACTATAACATATCAATTCACTTTATATTTATTTTAAAATTTTTAGTGTTCTCATAATCACCTCAATTGATGCACATGGACAAATAACTTTTATTGATGCATTGAAAATGACAATTTGTTCAATTGATGAACATGGACAAATAACTTTTATTGATGCATTGATAATGACAATTTGAGTAAAAGCTTGTTTATAAAAAAACTAGAAAAAAAAAAACTGACTTGTTTTCTAATTATTTGTGTTAATTAGAGTTTATTTGAAAAAAAATTAGTATGGTAAAAAAAAAAAAAAGAAAAAAAAAATATATAATTGTAGGGGCTTCCCTTTTGGACACTAATTCCATATAATGTCTATCCAAAATAAGTTTGAAAGAATCTCACGGTACAATTATTTTGAACATTTCAATTCACCCATTTGGCACTAGCGCATAAATTTTTTTGATAAAAGGGTTAGGTTAACATTTGCGTCCACCCACCCACGCCGCACCTTCATAACACCTAAAACAACTACTTGTGATTTGTACGAATTGAGTTATTTTATATACAAACTAACACACCCTTGTGATATGTCAAATTTAAGGTGCATTGAGCATTTAGTAAGTCTCCTAACTGGTTTTATTGTTGTTAAATATATATATATATATATATGTGCAGTCTGATGGACAAAGTAATAGTGCTAGTCCTTTTCATTCAATAAAGATGATGATCCTAGTGTTGATGATACACACTCTGCTATTAATATTAATATAATATACATGCATTTGAAATCATGATGATGAATAACCGAAAATGAATTAATTAAATATTGGGCAGCCCAAGCGAGTGGAATGGAGGAATAGTGAGGACATCGAAGAGCTGTTATGGGGAGACTGCCCCCATTTCCGGCTATCCGGAGGCTACATATTGGGGCGATCAAATGAGGGTATTGGAAAAGGTGATAAGTTCAATGAACAAGCCTCCTTTGTTGCTCGACATAACCTTGCTATCGGCCATGAGGAAAGACGCCCACCCATCCATTTATAGTGGAGACTTGACACCTGCCCAACGAGCTAACCCTGACCACTCTGCTGACTGTAGCCACTGGTGTCTGCCTGGATTGCCCGATACCTGGAACCAACTCTTCTATACATCTCTCTTTTTCTCATACTAGCTATTTCTTTTCTACTTTTATTCCTCAACTCGCTATTTACATCATATCACCCTGTCACATACTCTTACACCTCAAACTTCAAATCAAATCAAATCAAATCAAATTAAATGGTTTATGAAATCAGATGAAACACGCTGAATGCAACTTAGCGGACAAAATTATGGAACAAAATATCCATTACATCTAATGTATTTTTTCACCATGCATCACTTCAACCAAACAACTGCCATTGTGCGGTGGACTACCAATGGTTTCACTCGAATAATGGAGCATTGTGTTTATTGTCTTCTACATCTAGTGCATGTTTGCTTTTCTAGACAAGCTAAGATTATACTCTTAACCTAGCCTTAGTCTTGTGTTTATTTCCTGTAACGTCTTGATTTTCAAAAAAGATATATATGACATTTTAAAGGGATCACAATATTTGAGCCAAAAAAAAAATCAACACTCTATTTATTTTGGCGGAATAGTCTTCTCATATATCATCACAAATAAAAATAATGTTATAATTAACAAATTCACTCTGTAAAAGATTTTATACAACAAAACTCAATTCCAAACATTTGTAAGAATTAACTTCTCATAAAATGACCAATGTAACAATTTCCAAGCATACCAAGCATTATTTGTTTATGGATTATTATTTTTCATTTTCTACTTTGTTTGGCTCGCCCCAAACGAAATATAAAAAAATTATGTTATTAAAATAATCAACTTAGATATACTATTAAAAGCTGTTAAATATATTTATAAGTTTCATATAGTCATATATCAAGCGTTCAACAAAAAATCAATTACTTGTTTTAACAATTAAACAATGATAATTAAATTAATTCAAACTCCATAAATATGAACAATATTATTTTTCAATAGATAATAGTGACTAATAATTTATATTAGCAGTGTCTAAATGTGTTTAAAATTAAATTTATACTACTATTTCATATAAATATACGTGTAATTTTTTTTTCTTTTTAAATATTGGGCGGGCTAATTTGCGGTCCATCGGCGAGGCAGGGCTGGCTGCCATTAACGAGGCCCATCAGCCCATCTTTTACTTATAGGTAAGGTCGAACTTACCTTTCTGAGAGAGTGATACTAAATCCCAATCATATTCCATTAATTTTCCCATTATTATCACTTAATTACTTTCTTTTCCCATTTGTTATGGTTTTACAGAACATAAACACATGTATTTACTCTTATTTTTTACTCGAGTTAATATGTCCACCAATTAATTGAATCTACTTAAATATACAATAAACAAAAGTTAAAAAAGAAAAGCTCATGAAAATTCAACCTACTTCTATTTTTGCTTTGAGTTTTCAGAAAGAAGATTTTCATCTCATCCAAAACCATAGCTCACGTCTGGCCTACCAGCCCATCCCCATCAGGCCCACTACCCACTTAAGCGGGCCACACGGCCCACTACCCACTTAAGCAGGTCGTCCGGCCCGTGATCGAGATTTCTAAGAACACCATGCTTAATCGAGCATGCTTCCAAATGTTTGATATCTACACACTGAATAAGTTTACCTAGAAAATCACACAATTAGAATGAACAAAAGTCACAACATTTTTAGTGCCTAAGAGATTTTTCCTTCCCAATCTTCAACAATATCCCAACATCAACATAGGAAGAAAAAAGACATAAATATAATGTATTCTACTTTTTGTTATGCCTAGTCTTTGGTATACTAAACAGAACAACTATCAAGTAAATAAACGTAGTAGATCACACTTTTATTTTATTATTTATCCACTCTTACAAATACTTTTCATGCAATAAAATCAAGAATGATATAACAAATTCTTTGTTTTAAACCAATTTCATATTACATTGGATGAAACATTCTATATGATACTCTTTTTTTTTTTTCGAAATGAAAGAACTTAAATAGAAAAAAAAACACATAAGTACAACTAGATTCCAGCACAACAGCTGAATAAGGCAGCTAAAGAGCCAAACTGAAATGCATACAATGAAATCTCACATTTTTATCACCTAACAAGTTCTTTTGATAGTACAAAACCGAAGGCGAAATCGTACGGAATCCAATCGACTTTCTTCCACAACTTTCCGAGTCGACCATTCTTGATTCCCATCGAGTCGGACAGCAAATGCTCGACCGTTTGTGCTATGCTCGATTGAGCTAAGCCACCAATATCCTTCACAAAATGCTCGACTTTTTTTGGTACCGACAAATTAAGGTCTTTATGAAGCTTCACATTCACCTGAATGTAATCTTCTTTTTTTGGTACCGACTTTTTTTGGTACCGACAATGATTGGATTTTTCTGATAAATTTGTATCCAAGCATCCTCATAGTATTCTACATGTCATGTTATTTTCACTTTGTTCCCTTGTAATAATTTGTTGAAAGACATCTTAGGTGTTGCATATAATATACTTTATCCTTCAGTATAAATGTTTTTATCCTTTTGTTCTCTTTTAACATTAAACTTCATTTACAAGGAACTTTGTTTTCCATGAAATGTCAATGATGCAATCCTTGGCAGTCTGGTTATCTTAATATATACGTTTCTCTTAATAGGTGGATCAGAAAGGCAGCCTGCGTGGTTATCTTAACTATTAATGGTTTTGTTATCATGTATGTTTTTTAGGGAGATGAAAATGTCTGAGTATGAGAGTATAAGAAGGAGGATAGTAGAGGAGAATAAAAAGAAGATAGAGGAACTTGGACTTAGACCGGTGGCTTATGAGAAAATGAATTTGAAGAAACCGGCTAAGCAAGTAAAGATCAACAAAATATTAAGGCCTGCTCAAGACTTTCAAAATGATAATGAGCCCACACTTGTAAAAGGTGATCACTCGGAAAACATATCCAAACAAGACAACACTCAAGGGTTTGGGACAATACTATATTTGAGATCTTGCTCAAAAAAGGATGTATATATATCTTAAATTGTTCCATTATATGATAGCAATGTATTACTCATATGCTCACATATGGGTGTTATGTATATGTGTAAGGTAATTGCTAGCAAAAACGTGGAGCTTGAAAGGATTGCAGACAAACAACAATTGTCAATGGCCACAATGGCGAGCTTAAATAAATCACGTTCTCAAACTCAGAAAAGACTTTTGGAACAGAGTAAAGCGAAGAATCAATATGATGAGAGTGCATTGAAATTGAAACAACCTCTGACGGTGTCCGCACCACCTCTTAAAGAAGTGCCTCCTCAACAAGCCTAGGACAACTCTCATGGAAAGACCTAGGCTCGTATGAAGAAGAGCCAAAATAAGATGATGGTTTTACCATGAACACTTAGTGCTTTTCTAAGGTTGAGAGGGAAAGGTATCGAAGATGAACGATTATCTTTACCAGTCAATAATGTCAAACAACCTGAGAGTTTACCGCACCAAGGTGTAAGAGTTTAATTATTTGAAGATGATAATGGATATGAAATTGAGAGTTCACATAAGCAGCAACATTCGAATGATTATGTTGTTGAAGAAAACAGTGATCCTATAGTTCCAGAAACTAATGAACCGACTCTCATGCAAGATCATCACATTGATCAGCCCGGTAAAAGTGAATATAAATTCTATATATATTATTTTTGTTGTCTTTGAAAGTTTATTTAAAAATTTTGTTGTTATTAATACAATTTTGCTGGTACAAGCTTTCTTAGACTTACTTTTTGAATTTTTATCAAATCCAAATATATAGTGTTGGAGAAGAAAAGGGGAACGAGAGGACCACCTATGTGCAAAGACGTTCATGCATGGGCATTAGATGAATGTAGACCCATATTTTTCAATGTCAAAGGTCAGCCAATTGGTCCTGATCAAGAAACTTTAACAAAATTTAGTATGTTTTTAGGTACACTATCTCGAGATTCTACTCTTGTGCCACAGAATAAGGTTGACTGGCGCTATGTTACCGGCAAGGATATGGATTTTGATTATGTGAAGGTATGGTGCTTTGAACAGTCTATATAATAGGTTATTTTTTCGGGTAATCATTTTCCAGGTCTTTATTGTTATGTTATCCACTACTGAAAGCTATATTTCATCACTCATATAAAAATATACCAACGTTTGTTTTAGCATATACTATTTTAACTATATCATACTTAAGAGACTACATAAAATAATTCCTTTATGGCAGAAGAAATTCATCATCCCAAAGGAGGCCATGGAATACGTGTTATCTTCGGTTGGAGGTCTTTGATGTAGTCATAAATGTAGAATAAAGAAGAAACATTACACCGGGTATGAGAATGACAAAGAAAGATGGACGAATAGGCCAAAGTCGATTCCAGATTCACATTTTAAAGAATTGTTAGAATATTGGAAACTTGATGAGGTTAAGGTAATGTAATAGACTAATGTTTTATTGTCTTTTACCATTTAGCTATTATTATCAAATTATTTGAATTCGAGGATGAGTTTAATTGCAGGAATTAAGTAAGAAGAACAAAGAGCAGAGTGAAGGACAAAACGATAGGCATACAATGGGTCCTATATCATTTGCAGGAAAGCATTATGAGCTGGTAAATTGTAGTGTACTAGTTTCCAATTATAAGAGGGTATAATATCTTTACTTTTATGAGACATTGCCTTTTAATTTATAATGGTAATGTAAACAAGCGATATTTAATCGTTTTGTTACAATTACATATCTCTTATTCATTTCGAAATAATGGTAAAAGAATAAAGAGATATGTGTTATTTTTGTTATTGTTTTGAATTATTTTATCGGAAAATGCTGAAAAGGACGTACCATCTCAAGAACTCATGTACAAGGAAACTCGCAAAAGGGAAGAAGGGAAGATTTATATGTCATCTTATGTAAGTACCATTTTTTTTTTCCTGCTAGGCATTTAAGTAAAGGCTTTCTTTCATTCTCAAAATGAGACACTTAAGTGTATTGTTTCTCTTATGCACTTTGATATTTATCCAAATAGGAGAAAACTGTGCCAAACTCATTGAAGAGTGAACTTTTGGGAAGATATACCAAGAAAAGAAAACAATCTCTTAATTGTGGTAGTGGTGGAGTCCTGATTCCTGATGAAACTATGCAGCCGTATAGAGCTGAGATTTTAAAAGAGACAGTAGGAGAAGTTATAAAACTATTGAAAGATCAAATTCCTTTTGAGATACTTTCAACTATAGCCTCATCACTCAAAACACAATCTTTTGAAAGCATCAAAGAGACTGGACATTGTCATGTAATTTTATATCTCTTTATTTAAATGTGAAACTTTAATTTGTTAAATCCAGAAATGCTTTATAAAGTGTTCTGATGGTTTGGATTTCTTGATAATAAAAGTACAAATAATGAGTGTGACTTGATGATATGGATTGAAAATAAAAGTTAATTTGCTATGTGTTCTTATGGTTTAAATTGTTGATTTTTATATTGCCTTTTGATTTTTTTTTTCTATTAATATAAGCTCCATCCTAAATCACATAGTATAAATAGTCTCATGTATTTGATCTTTCAAATGGCCGATGTAAACGTAAGTTTTTAACTATTGTCATCTTGGTCGTCTAGTAATTCATAACCTATTTTTGTCATTTTTGCATGCTTTTGAAGTGGTAATATTGTTATTATGCTGACTTTTGGAGTGTTAAAATGCAAATTTTCGGGATGACAGCTTTGACGATGATGGAGCAAATAATTATGATAAAACCATTCACGGAAATGATGAGAGAATAGAGAATGAAGAAGACGAAGAAGAAGGAGGGGAAGAAGAAAGAGGCTGACTATTATTCCGCCTTTGTATCTTTTGTTGATTACTCTCCATCTTTGTTGGCCTCTTTATCTTTCTTTGTTTTGAAATATGGAGATATTTTATTACTTTTATATTGCAGTGTCTAATTTTTTTATTCCAGTTTACATTTTGTATATGCATACATAGAATCAGCCTAAAAGTACTTTAATTCAGAAGTAACTTAAGTGATAAGAAATCTTAATAATGTGAAACAATAAATGAATTAAAGTGATACAAGTATTAGATAAGATGTCAATCTATGTACCAGGTGATTATAACACATTTACTAAGCTAAAGTAACATTTTTTTTTTTTTAAAAAAAAAGTGCTATGTTAAAAGATCTATCGTGACACAATTATGGTGCAAAGTGTTACCATACAAGAAAAGTTCATTTAAGAAAAATATAACAATTGGACAAAAATGTGTTACGTAAATTGTTATATCTAACATTTGAAAAGTGTTACATCAAACTGTTACAATAAACGTCCTAATGTTACACATGAAAAAATTGTTTTTAAAAGTTTCAAAAGTGATACGTGTGACTGTAGGTAACATGAGCAGATACTACACAAGTGAAAATGTTACCTATTATATATGCTAAGATTTTCTAGGTATTAAGCAATATTTTTTCACTGTTACAAAATATCAGTTATGTTGTATTGACTACGACTTTGTTGAAGGCTCAAAGAACAAAAGAATGTTTTAGAAAGTGAAACGATCGAAAATAAAATATTTTAAGTTGCTGCAGAAAATGGTTGGAAATCAACATGCGCAGTCCTTGAATTTTAAACATAACTTTAAGCTGAACATATGTATTTGGTTGATTTCAAAACCCAGGAGAAGATAAGACACTTAAAGTACATTTTTTTTTTAATAAATCAAATACTTATGAGAACATCTAAAGAGTTTAAAATAATTCAAATCAGTTACAGTAGCGCAACGAAATGGTCGAAAAACAGCTAGCGCAATATTGGTATTTTTGATAGAAAATAGTAATTGAAGTAATTCTTGTCCCTATGAAAACACAAGAGACATATAAACAACTTTCATGAAGACATTGTCATCAAAATAGGATAATACGAAATTGAACATTTATCATGAACAAGCGAACAACCCACGATTACATTTTAGAGAAAGTGTCCCTATGCAGCGACCGTACTTTGAACATATCATTTTGTATAAAATCAATAATTGAGTGATTTTTTTGCCTACGGAAACAAAAGAGACACCTCTACAAGTCCAATGAAGATATCAAAAGTAACATGCCATAATAATAGGGTCAAAACAGCAAAACAAGACAGACTACGTACAACCACATTTGACAACGAAAACAGATTGCACAGGAATCAAACTTTGGACATCTCTTTCACTAGAAAATAGATAATCGTATGATTCTTGCGCCTAATGAAACATACGACATGTCGCTACAAGTTATGTTAAGACATCGAAAACATTCGGCTAGATGACGAGGTCCAAAACAACAAAGAACATACAGATTGGCACGACCACATTTAACAAAGAAAACTGATTGCGCAAAGATCAAACTTTGGACATAAGTTTTGATCTAGAACAGTTAATTTCATGATTCTTGTTCCTAATGAAAGATAAGAGATTGAACTTCAAGTCACGTGAAAATTATAAAAATAGAAGACTATGTTTCAGGGGTCAAAACTGCGAATGAAGAGTGGATAGAATGTAGTGGAAGCGTTGCCAATCATAGATCAACTAAAACACCATCATCAAATCAATGAGACTAGGGGCGCTTACCAACATCAACAGAGGCTCTAGAGAAACGTGCATTTAGATGCGTACTGATGGGGAAGAAGAGTTTAGTGGTTGTGTGAAGATGAGGCTGAGAAGGAGCTTGCGGGCGTGCGAGTGGAGAGAATGAAGAGGGTGTTACAGAGTCTAGGTGAATCATATTTATATGTACCTACATGAATAGGCTAATTTAGGGTTGGTAAGTTAGTGTCATAGTTCATAGTTTCTTGTACTTCAAAATATTTCCATATCTTCTTAATTACTTTTAGATAAATATAAATTATAATGAACACATTAATTAATTTTTTTTAAGAAAAAACTTTATTAATATTACTCTTACAAAAATATGTATTGGGTGAAGTTTCTTGAGTCTAAGTTTATATTTCAATTATTTAAATGTTAATCTTAAACTTTTTAAATAATAAGTATTATAATTTAATTTATATAAATGATATTGTACCAGCGATTCGGCCACGGCTCAAACAACCCACCAGCGACCGCAGACGACCTGCAGCGATCCGCCAACAATTGGCAGCATCCACCAGTGACCACCAACAACCTAGCCACATTTTGACAGACGCTAGAAAACATGGAGCGACCAACTAGAGTCTAGTGATGTCTCGGGCGATGCACGATGAGATTAGCATACAGGCGAGGCATGACGCAGTGATCGTGAACGGCGAGAAACACGAAAGATGATTGGCCAAGGCA